TTTAGCGTTTACACACTCTCCCATCATCTACCATGACTGAGAGGAGGTATTGCAAAGCTTTTGATTAACAGTAGATCACCATCTTCTCTAAATCCTAAAGTGTGCTGAACCTTAAATATAGTTTGCAAGATAAATCATAGTTTGTTTTGTAATGAACGTGTTTAGATTATATCTGAACTCTGCTATCTTTTTAGGGCTACCAGATCTGGAGTACAAAACCTAGTTTTCTGTATCTCTTTCCTGCCGTCTGGTGGATGTACAGATTTTTGTAGCCCAGATCTGGTAGCACTAACTTTTTCCTATTTTAGGGATGGCAGAGAAAGAACAGCTAGAGCTGCAATAGAAGAAACGCTGTCATTGTTCATTTCCAGCATGTAAATTAACGATCCTTGATTTAACCAACCCAGGAGCCTCTGAATGGTCAATTTATGCTGTGGCCTGAAAGCAGGGTAGTTCTCTTTTTCTAAGTTCCTATTTTGATAATGATATATGAAAACAATTTTGTACATGACAAGAAGTGTTAAACAGTTATTAATTATTGTAAATTTATTGTTTTTACTTGTAATAACTGAAAGGAATGTACTTCTTTAATATTTGATGTGGCATAATTCATGAATCCCAGTGCATGACTATATTTATGGCAAAGTTGATCAATGTACGTCCCAGTATTTTCTCAAAAGCAGAATCAACAAACAAGTTTTACGTTATTAAAAATAATCTGGAATTAAGCTCCTTTCTATCCTCCATTACTGTCACTTCCTTCCCCATCTATATCTTTACTAGAGGTTTTTCCCCCCCGGTAAATTTAGCTAGAAATGAAGTACTCTCTAGATTAGGAAGAAAAGTATAAATATGACATCAATCACATATTGCAATTATTCTGTATTTGTTTGAATTGGCAGCCATTTTCAATGAAAACCTCATGTAGACATTTAAACTTGCTACTATATTTCATGAATGTTTTGGCAAGAAAGCCCAACTGCAAAGATGAGTTTTCCAAAAATAGCTGTCCTAGGATAGTTCCAACCAATATTAAGAAAATTTACAATATAGATACCAAAGTTAATATTTTAATGATTAGATTGTAGGGTTTGCAAAAGTATTGTAATATTTTACTAGGCTTATTACTAACATTTTGGCTGGTGTTCATGCTAGTTAAAGGTAGAAAGCAACTCTGCAGTTCAAAAAGATTTCAGCAATGTTTTAAAACAAACAAAAAAACCCTGGATTCATATCTAATAGAGTTTATTTAAGAATTAGTCTGAGTTTTATTTAACAGATATGTTAATAGAGAAAATGTATATCTACTCTATTCAAGAAAAATGCTTCTTGGGTTGACACACATAATTTTCAGAATTTTTGAAGCCATGTATGGAAAATAAACCATTTTGGCTTAGCGTGTTGTGGGTATCAAGCTTGTATGCCCCCAGCTAACATTATATCCTTGCTTTTAGCCTCAAAGCCACAAGCACCTTTGTGGTATTTGAAGAGTACCACTGTCAACCATTCTTTATCATCCTAAATATTACTTTATTTGATTAAATATTAGTTTGATTTCAGGGTGGGATTATAGAATGCAGTCTGTATGTAGCAAAGAACAGGCTGATTGTATATGTGTGCACAATATTTACACAAATAATGTAGGGCAAGTCTGTGTTCAATTTGATTAACTAGAACACCAAAAAGAAGTCACTATGTGCTTCACTGATTACAGTATAGAAAAGCCTTTGATTGTATCAAATACATCAAACCGTGGAATGTGCTCAGAAAAATGGGAATCCCAGAACATCTCGTTGTCCACATGAGAAATTTATATATATATATATATATATGTGTCAGGAAGCCACAGTATGGACAGAACACGGTGAAACAGACAGGCTCCAGAGGCAAAGAAGTATGACAAGGCTATATACCCACCCCTTATTTATTCAACCTATATGCTGACTATATATTAAGGGAAGCTGTATTGGAGGAAGATGAGTGTGGTTTTAAAATTGGAGGAAGAAATGTCAAAAACCTCCTGTCAATATGCTAATGACACTACCCTGATAGCCAAAAATACAAAGGACCTGAAAGCTCTAGTAATAAAAGTCAAGGGAAAAAATGGGATTAAAATTAAATATAAAGAACAAACTAATTACAAGTAGAACAACCAGCCTTAGAACAGACTGTGAAGATATTGAAGCGGTGGACAGCTTCTGCCTTTTAGGATCAACCATCAACAATAAAGGAACAAGCAGTCAAGAAATACATGCAGACTAGCACTATGATACAAGGTGTTAGAAGTCCCATAGATATCAAATGTACTGTAGACAGATATGTATATAATAATTATTTTGAAAGTGGCTTAAAATCCCTAATTTACAATGTATGGTTTCTCTCCTGCTATACACTTGAAAATCATTGAATCTATGTCATGAGCTTAGATTAAAAGGGGGATTGAAAACTACTACATCACATAAATTTCCAATTGCACTAAAATAAAGCTTTGAATTTACATTCAAATAAAACTTGTCCATAAGAATATTTTGGGAAATGTCTTTGATGTCTGTAGGCGTATTGGTCTCTCCCGAGCCCAGCAGAATTGGCTCACAGGTTCTTTTGGATTCGGAAGCAATGACCACACTGGTATGAGTACTTAAGGCTTTATTTCAAGGTGTATAAGAAAATTACATAATAACATAGCATGAGCAGAAATCAAAGAATATTCAAGCATACAAGAGTACAATAACAGAAAGGGATTGGCTGTCTGCCAATCAGGGAACTCAAATGAAATGACGGCAGGCAGACCCCATTAAAGTCAGCAAATATGCAGCGCCCTTCTGGTTAAGTCTGCATAAAAGTTCCATCCTATGGGAATTTCTGACTAGCATATATGGGCTCTGAATCACCATTACTCACACCTGCTTTTGGTGATGCCATCTCACTGGATTTTGCCAAGGCTAAAGAGGATGTTCCTCTTCTCTTCTCCTTGGAATGCTTTGTGTAGCACCAGCTGGCAATGACACCATCACAAGGTTAAGGTGTATTTCTTTCCCAACTTTCTGGATTGGAGATGACAAAGATTATCCTACTCTATATGGGTGCCCCACCAAAGACAAGGCAAAGCAAAGTATACAAAAATATAACCCATTAGTGACTAAAGTAAATTCTTGCTTGAATCTGTGTTACATACTCAACCATTACATGGGAATATGAAGTTCTATATATAATGTACCTAAGAGGTACATATGATTATCCAATTCTTCCTTGCCAATCTTCCAGTAAAGCCACCAGCACTACAATAGGGTCTTCTAATTCTAAATAAATAAAGGAAACAATAGTAACCTTTAGTGTACTTTCTGCTCAGGAAGGAAACATGAAGTCCTTTGGATGACTAGCTTTTTTTTTTAACTCCAAATTTAAATGTGCATAATGATGCTTTTCATATGTGAGAATTGTAAACATATGACTTGAACCTAGCTGGGAAAGTGGTTTTGTATATAAGAGATATTTAGCCATTAACAGCAAAAGCTAACACAACTTATTTTGGTGGGCATGTTAGACTTGTAATTTGGTGCAAGAAACAAGGAAGAATCTTCTTAGTCGATTTCTTGGATCATTTTTAATGAATAGTGATTCATTTGATACAGTTACATAATACCTGAAAACTGTCCAGTCGTTGATTATTATAGAGATACATAAAATCATTAATTATTTACATCTTTCAGCCAGGGGCAGCATATTCAGAGACTGGATGTTAATTCACATGTTCTAATCTTTCCAAATACTTAGCTACTGCTATTGTTTATTTTTAATTAAGAGCAGCGCGTTGCAAGTTCAGTAGTATCCTGTCTCACATGCATGTTCTGATTCATGAGAAACAATGCAGGCAGGTATGGAAACTTGCAAGGACAGCTAACTGAACAATTAATTCCCTGTATTGTGGTTTGACTTTTGTTTTTAAGATTTGCTGTATTTTTACATAAACACAGTAAAGAACAAGGTCTAATTTAAAACAAAAAGACTAATTTTGATCAACATCAAAATGCATTTTGTTTATATTCCAAATTGTTATTCTGGACCCCTGGGTCTAGGGAATTAAACATTACCACTCAAATGACAGGGTTTCTTTTTCTAGGAATCAATGCTGCTTTTTTTCTTCCTTTTACTACCAAATGAGATTTCACAGACATTGAGAGGGGAAAAAAATAATCACATATTCACAGATTTCTGTGATTATTTCCTGCACATATTTCCTGCACAGAAATGTGTGAATTGTTTAAATAGTTTTACTTTCATAATGCCATATACTACTATTGTCTTATAGTATGTGTGTGTGTGTATAGGAGGACCTCTTACAACCTTCTGCAATGAGAAAAATAGAGAAAAATGACTATCTGTTTAAAAATTCGTTTGTAATGTTTGAAAATTAGTCCCAAAATTAACATGCCAATATTCATTCTCAATTGTTTGCTATGGATAAGTTTTTTTAAACAATAGTATAGACTAACATCTAATTATGAGCTAGTTTGGTGTAGTGGTAAAGACACCACTAGAAACGAGGAGACCGTGAGTTCTAGTCCTGCCTTAGGTACAAGGCCAACTGGGTGACCTTGAGCCAGTCACTTTCTTTCAGCCCTAGGAAGGAGGCAATGGCAAACCACTTCCAAAATCTTGCCAATAAAACTGCAGGGACTTGTCCAGGCAGTCGCCAGGAGTCAACACTGATCTGAAGGCACCAAAAAAAAAAGACTAATTTCCCATTATGGTATGTTACACTGTTCTTCTGTTATGTTACATTTGAGATTCTCCTAGTACTGAAGACAAAATATGATATCTGTAGTTTCTTTCATTTTTCCTTCAAGTTAATATTGTTACCTTGAGCCATATCATATCTTCATTCTGAGCACATTTTCAGTGATCTTAGCAACTAAACAACTGTGATCCTCTTTTTTTAAAAATGTCCAAAATACATCCATTTTTTTAAAGTATGTGTATTTTGCTGTGCTTTGTTTTAGGAGAGAGGCACAACTGGATGAAGAAGGGCAGTTTCTGGTCAGAATTATTTATGATGATTCCAAAACGTATGATTTAGTGGCTGCAGCAAGCAAAGTCCTCAGTGAGTAAATCTGGCTTTCTTTCAGCATTGCTTTCCTGAAGGATATGCTGCAATTCAGTCGGTGAAGCCATTGCCTTCCTTTATGATGCGTGGTGTTTTACAGATTACGATGACAAAAAGAAATAGTTTTCTATGGTCCAGTCTGGACTATTATTTTTCGGTGACTTGACAATGGTACTGTGCAGACATTCTTAGAATATTTATTTCAAATTAAGAGCAGGTCTCAGGGATGCTAATGAGCCCTTTCTTTACCATGCAGATGGTGGCCTCAGAGGATCAATTTTTCTCTGGAGAGGCTACTCTTATATTCCTACCTGCTGTGATCTCAGTAAATATTCGTGCCCTCTCCTCTGGCTGATTTCTGCCATTTAGTTTTATATGTATATGTACACACACCAATACACACAGATATGTCTAATGCATGTGAGCATTTAAGATCATATATAGTTTGTCTCAAATTGTTGTGTTTTAAAACAGCCTCAAGAATTGTAGTGAGTTGAAAATAGAATTATGTGAGACAGAACGCAAGATATGTATCTAAGCCTCTCAACCAATGGAGGTATGTTACATAACAAATTTTGCATACCACTGAGCTATTATTTATTATAAGCTTCAAAATGTTTGTGCAGATATCAGAATTGTTTGGAGAATTTGTTTCACACAATCCAAACCACTGAACTTTGAGACAATTCTTGAAGCTCCTCTGAATTATAAATGTGCTGGTTACCTTACTTGAAATCTGTAAAATGCTGTAAATTCTCATAAAGGTTTTAAAAGCAGATCTGAAAAGGAAACTGTGAAGAAATAATAGGTGCATTGTGTCTTTCTAGACTATAATTTGCTAAATTCTTTACAGCATTGATTGACATTATTCATTTTATTACTTTGCTTCTTATCTCTTTATCAGTGCTTACTATGATTTCTTAGCAAAGAGCATTGACCTTGACACCTTAAAAAACACAGAATGTTTATTTTATTTGTTTGTTTATTTGTTTATTTTGCAGACCTTAATGCTGGAGAAATCCTTCAAATGTTTGGGAAGATGTTTTTTGTGTTTTGCCAAGAATCTGGTTATGACACCATCTTGCGTGTGTTGGGATCCAATGTTAGAGAGTTTTTACAAGTAAGTTATCTGAGACACATCATTGCTCCAGGGCAATTTAACTTGAAAGGTATTTGCTGTAGTACTCTGCACATTTGCTTAAACACAGGAATGTAATTTATCAAATCTCTGGATCCAGAATCGGAAATCCTTTCACTCTGGCTATTTTTGTACACAACAACTTTTTATTTGCTGTTTTCACTAGTCAATTGTATCGAAAATATTATCTTGATAATTCACACTTAAGAACCAAAATAATACACATCAAGCTTCAGTTTTTCACCTAATTAGGAAATTACGTGGAAATTCTGAGTAGATACATATTTAAATGGCAGTCATCCAAAAAACAAACAACCTGTCTTCTAAATTCCATTTCCATTTCATTTTTGTTGTGTCCAGATAATGCTATAGTTGTACATGAGTGACACATCTTGAGATGAATAACTTCTATTGCAATAAGAACATGCTCAGTTATTTTAATAACTAATCTGAGTTGTTTTTATAATATATACATTTATTCATATGGAGACATGTGGGATTGTTTTAATCCTATTGATGACACTTTAGAACATTTAAAACTGGTATTCTAATCATGTAAATTTTCTTTTTGTGTAGCTTTGTAGACAATAAATGATAAGATGATTTATACATCAAGTAGCATTTCTCAAAAACTTGAGAAAATGTGATTCTGTGCATGCTTTTATTAACATTTCATTCAAAAATGCAACCATTGTGTTAAATACAATCATTTAACATTATGACTTTTAAAATATGTGCTGTATATAATGTGAGGTGAAAATATTGCTAAAAGCAATGCTAACGCAGCATGTGAAAGAAGAGCAGCTAGTCAATAAGTGCAATTTGAGGAATCCCAAGAGTATTTTTATATTAGCAGCATAAAAGAAAAATCGATCACACACAGAGTGGTGGTTAATAAAAAATACTTCAGGGAGCAGTGTCGTGGTCTACTCATATTCTGTTACTAACACAAATATACATTCTCTGAAGTTACAATATTCAAAAACATGTCAACATATCAGGCAGCTTTGAGCCTGAAAGCTTGGTACATCACATGCATAACTTAAAAAAGACTGTTATTAAAGATGGCCAGATATAAAAATGAACAAAACTTTTATATTTCCATCTACTTAAATTGAGTGTTCTGCACAACTATTAAACACTCAGAACCTTTATCTTTACAAGAACATACCTAATGAGAAAAACATAGTCACACTTCCATATTTTTACTAATAGTTGAAACAAATGGAATCTCTATCCTTTCCCACTTCCTTTGATGAATTGTATAAAAGCCAGAGGCTGTTACTACTAAAAGTTATTTAGCAACTAATTGGAAGGACTATTAGTAACCAGATGTATGAATGGTAGCGTTGCAGCCATTTCCTGATCCTGCAACTGTAAGAATAGCGTGGGACATTCTCTTCCTCCTTAGCCCATGTCACCAGCTGCCATGGCCACAAGATTCTAGATCAGTGAACCTGAAATTATGGTCCATGGGATTGCAGAGCTCCTCTGTAGCATCCTCACATTTAGCACTAATCAGCTGGCCAAAGTTTGTTCACTGCCTCAGCTCCCACCTCTCAGGGAGCTCATCATTAGTCAGGTGGTTCATGAAAATAGATCAATGGCTAAAAATCAATTTAAGTATACAGTTGATAGTGCAAGTAGCAACGTGACTACTAACATTCAGAAAACTGATAGCGAAAAGGTCTTCCCAACTGTGCTGTGCTAAGTGGAACCATGAAGCAAGCAAAAAGAAAAAAGAAAAATATGAAAAGGATATGCAACATTGAATATCTAAAAATGTGGTTTCATTGGTTGGAAATACCTTACTCATTACTTACTTACTCATTACTTACTCATTACCTCTTAGTGTGCATAGGATTCTTCTGAAGAATATTCTGGACCAGCAAATTATACTAAGAGATTGTTATTATGGTATGGGTATATAAAACATGGTAAGAGTTAGTTTTATTTTGGAGGAACAAAAATTGGTATAAATAATGGAAGAGATAGGAAGGCATAACAAATGCAACTGTTAACATTATCTCATTCCCTGGAAACTCCCATGCTCTTAAAGATGAGAACATAGGAAGGGGGTGTTTGTTTAAATGGGAGCATTTGTTTCTATCCTTAGGCTTATAAGACGCTTTGATCATAACCAGCTCTAGGTGGCTTATGCTCCCAGTTTACATTAAAAAGATTTAAAAAATAAACAGAACCAACATAACAATAACTCTTACTCCCATCAATCTGCACCAAGGAACAAAAGAAGAATCAATATAAATAGTAATCTCCCTGCAGGAGGGACTCCAACCATGTCAGCCTGCCTACGCCTGGTGGAATAGTCAGGTATTTTTCCTTATTCATTCTTCTGGTGGAAAAATGGCCTCAGCAGAATTCTTAGAGCACTGGGTTCCTACCATTTTCTCACTCCCAGTCTTCCTCTGTCCCTTTTAGTTTTTGTTGTTTTGCTTTCTGCTGAATGATCAAGAGATTTATTCAGGCATCTCGACTTGCCCCTAAGAAATACCGTAGTGCTTAAAAGGTTCATTATAATGCAGTTTTCCTGCCTTATCAGAATAACCCATATAGGTGCATATACATGGGTTTAATAGGTTAATAATTATATGTTCGCAAGGAATTCACATTTTAAATAAATGGTTATGGCACCATGATTTTTACATGTTTTTATAAGCATTTCTCCTCTTTGAGAAAATGTGAGAGATAATTTGAAATCATAAAGCTGAAGTCTTTTAAATTTTTGTTCCAGTTCTGGCAAACTTTCTATCAGTATAATCGTGTTGACTATGAAGCTTATTATGAAGTACAACATGCACAAATCTAAACTAAATAATATATCCAATTTTTCATTAGAGAGTAAACTTCTCCTTAGCCTGCTCTATTTTGTTTACCTCACAAGCATATCCTTGAAATAGTAAGATTTAGAATTGGTGAGTTCCTGTAGACATCTCATTGTATTATAATGTGTATGTTACTTTTGTTGCTGTTTTTTTAATTCAAAACAAAATAAAATTCCATGGAAAAAAGAATCTCTTCTTCTTCTGGATAAATTTAAAACAAGCAAGTATGTGAAGGAGGAAACTCTGGCTGTGTCGTGTCTAAGAAATTAAATCACAAGATACTTGTTTCCTTTGGAGATATCCCAAAAGATGAGGTTTTACATAACTCATAGGAGATAAGTTTTGAAGATTTCCAGATATTAAATAAGGATTGGATACGTTACATATAAAAACATATTCATTCCTTACTATATATACATCAGAACAAACAATAACAAAATATAGCAACATAAAATTCAGGAGCGGGAATAAATGTAGCAAAGACTGATTATACAGTAATTTAGAACTGATGGAAATGTTCCTGACATGGTTACCATGTAGATGTTTTCCTTATGCTATCTTAATGAAAGTAAGGGATTCTTACAAAGTAATAGATTTCCAGTCCAAGTAATATTTTCTTGATTTCATTTCTTGCAATATGTGCTTCCCAACACCCTTAGGGGTTTGTTTCATATATAAAAGGTATACTTTTGAAGCTATGTTTATCTCAACTTGAGTATAGCTTCTTTAGTGAGAATGCTAGAAAATTAGATTATAACATTTTCTTATAATTAACTTTTTCTCCAGAATCTTGATGCTCTACATGACCATCTTGCTACAATATACCCAGGTATGCGTGCTCCTTCCTTTAGATGCACAGATGCAGAAAAGGGGAAGGGCCTCATTCTGCATTACTATTCAGAGAGGGAAGGGCTCCAAGATATTGTCATTGGAATCATCAAAACAGTTGCTCAACAAATTCATGGCACAGAAATAGATATGAAGGTAAGTTTCAAGATAAAGTCTCCCCATGGTTGACATGTCACAGATATGTTAAATTACTTTATAGCAATTTCTTCTTTCTCTTTTAAAATTAAACATATTTCCAAGATACTGTTTTCCCATTGTTAGGGACAAAAAAATTATTGTTGCAACGGATATCTCATCATTGCTTTGTTATTCTGTTCACAAATTTCAAGAGTCAGTTTTATTTATAGCAGGTTACTAATAGCAATACCAGGAACAGAATTCTATGTAATAATCTGACATTTTGTTTACTTTATTTATTGTTGGAAGGAGATGGGGAATTTTGGGTTTTTTTTAGTTTAGTTTAGCAAATGTCCATACTATAAATCACAGCTAATTTTAATCATGATTTATTGGTAACCATATAATACAAGATTTCAGAATGATTTATTTCATTTACCCATAGTTACATCTAATCATAGTTTCTCTGTTCAGGCATATTGTGCATGTGGAAATAAAAAATTCCAGGTTCCTCTCTGATGCACTCAAGATGGAGGTAGATTTTCCATGAGCTTACACCAAGTTACTTGTCTTGAGCTTTGCCACCAGAACAAACTGGTGCTGGGCTGCTCACCATTGATGGTAGATGGCTAGCTAGGTGCTCCACAAACTGCCTCATACCTAATCTGGCAGCAGAACAGTATTCCCACCTGAGATACCACTACTAGTTCTGTGATGGTTCAGCTGTGGGATGATACCAGTGAAGCATTTTCTATTATGATTTAAGAGCAATTGCTGCTCTTCAAACCAGACAGAAAAAGAATAAATGGCAAGGACCAGTTAGGCACTGTTAGATCAAGGTGGCCACTTACAGACTGAGGAATAGCTAGATGATACCTGTAATTCATACTGTACTGTCCTACTTCAGGTTTTACCTTTTAAAGTGTAAATGTCAGCTGTTTCATCTGAACAGGATGGATTGCACATGGGGTGGAGGATAACTGATTAGATAACTGATCCAATTGAATTCTTTTTTTTTTTTAAAAGAAAGCACCCAATCCTTACAGGTTAATTGGTTTGCCTAAACATATGGGCTGGGAGAAGCATTGGTGAAATTAGAAGTGGGATAGGATGATACCTATTGTTTAGTTTTAGTCTGAGAGGCCTTTCTAGATAAGAAAAGTCCATCATAGATAAATTCATAGCTTTACTAAACACAGACTATGCATCTTCCCAGAGCAGGTGGTATAAAACTGTGCATAGTGTTGGCTACCAAATATTATTTCTAGAAGAGTGATACAATTTTAATAATAATCATTCATTAAATTTATATGCTGCTCAACTGCTAATGATTCTGGCCAGCTTACAATTGTTAAAATATTTAAAAACAAAGAACAATAGGAGAACACATACGTACACAAAAGCAGCACAAGACAGAAGAACAACGATGGCAAAGAAATAAACCCAGGAGGCAACAGAAAGAAAGGAGGGACATCCATCACCCAATCCAAAGGCCTGGGCAAAGAGCCAAGTCTTTAAGGCCCTTCAAAACACCAGCATATGATTATATTAATAATATAATCAATATTACAATTAATAAGTGCCTGCTTAGGCCTGCATCCTTGTATATGAACTTTTTTCCTTACATCAATAACTCATGGATGTATTAGAAAAATATTCCTAATAATAATGGTGGAATAATGGTGGAAACAGCAAATATTCTTCTCTTCTGGTGGTAAATAATCATATTTAATTTACTCAAACAGTACAGGTTACTACATAGTTGAAATCTGGAAAAGCAACAGGAATCAGCTCAAATAATATAGAAATCTTCCCACGAAAGGAACGTTTTAACTCATATATAGCAGCAGAAAGGCATTTTCAGAGCCCTTTCCTTTCCTCTCTTTCATTAGCTGAGCGCAAACTTCTATTTTGCAGAAGATCCATTTTGCCACAGATCAAGAGAGGAGAGTCTGCTGCCTCTTTGAAACCTGATGGGTGATTTGTCTTCATTTTTACTGCTGTTGCCATGGTGAATGACTTTGTAGATGTGCTGGTTGCTCTCATTTGCTAGCTAGCTCAGGTGGGGAGATGAATTAAACTTTATTCCAAGTTGTGTCACTGGTGTTGGTGGTGATCTTGTATAGCTTCTTCTTTAGCACATCTCTAAAACTGTTTGAAAGCTTATGAAATGTAGAGAGTTCATAGAAAGGGAGTTAATTTAGCTTTATTTTCCAGCTCACGGCCACTTATTAGGCTCAGCTGTTTGTTTGCTTTAAAAAAAATCTCACAATCTAATACTGAAGAGAAGACAGCAATTCTTAGTCCTGTGAAAGCAAAACGAGGCATGGAACTGGTTCTTCAGTATGATTTTGATACATTGAAAATTGGAATGTTATCAGATTTGTTAGAAATAGAAAATACAACTTTTTGCAATACTTAATATTTTAGAGTTTGTAGTGAAAGGGATTATTATATCTAATTCTAAGGTACTTTTTAAGGGCTATTATGTAAGTTGGGATAAAATTCCTCAAAGTGATCGTTTATACCAGTAGAATATGTATTACTGGTATAAAGGATCGCTTCGAGGAATTTTACCCAAACTTATGTAATATGTATTCTTTTAATCCTATCAAATGCTTAGTTCAATGTTCCATCCTTCCTATTGTGATACAGTAGTCTGAATATAATACAAACATTTCTGTTAATTTCAGCTGTGCTTTAATGACTTTTAATGACTTTAATGACTCATTTTTCTGCTTTATTCGTGACCTTTCTTCTCCTAGTTTAATACACATATCCTTCTTAAAGTTGTCGTACATTACTTTCTGTTCTAAACCAATTGCTATAAATTGCATTGTAACATTGCTGTTATTGACACAGGAGACTAGCAGAACACTAGAAGATGGTTTTTATCAAATTATGAACGTTTACAGGCTATTACAGAGTGTATTAGTGTCAGCTTTTGAAACTACCTAATTAAGTGGCAGAAGGATGTTGCTGTTTTCTAAATGATATTCAACCTTTTAGTCTTGTGGTTAGAGAGACAGGGCTTTGGACAGAAGATGACTAATTTATTTACTAGTGTTTTGAATACTTCAGTTATACTGTTTTTGACAAAAATTCTGATTTTAATCGGTCTGCACCACTTAATGTATGTCTTTAAAAAGGTGGATCCAGTAAGTCAGAATATTTTTAAAAAATATTAAAAAGCAGTTAAATTCACATTTTAAATATCAAGCATTTGGCTGGTGAACACTACTTTAGCAACAGCAGCACCCTCTTAGCCTTTTCTAAAACAGTGTCTGCTGTGACATGTGCATGACTACCCAAAACTAAGATATTAAGGCTTATTTCTCCAGTCACAATGTTGTATTAATATTTGAACCAATAAAAACGAATGAAGATTTTGTTAATTAGATACAGTTCTAATTTTAATAGTGTATTATATAGCTGAAAAGGGGCATTTAAAAATTTAAGTTAGAGTACAATCCATGCCTACTCAGAAGTAAGGTATGTTGAATTTAATAGGATTTTTTCCAGATATATACAGTATCCTCAGGCTGTTTTACATTATTGTTTGATAGTTTGTCAGTGCTATTAAATGAATAGTTTCATGCCAAGTACTTTATTTTCTGCAATGCAGCTTATGTAAATTCAGTGGAAGGCCCTGAACTTGTGTTATTTGGATCATCAGTTTAAATAACAGCAAGCCTCAGGTAGAACTAGTTCTTTTAATTTTGGAGCAGCCCTTGTTTCTTAATGTCTAAGAGTTTCATCATCTTGTCTTCTCTCAAAGCCACACTGCAGATACCTTAAATGATAGAAGCAAATCTGGCTTCCATCCAGAGACCTGTTTTGCATGTGTCAGAGTACATCTCTTGATATGCAGGGGATAGTTTCTTCCTGCTCAGGCAAAAGATTTATACAATCTGAAGAGAAATCAGAATACAAATTAAAAATTGCTATTCTTCTTAAACCTTTAGTTCAGGGTTATTGGACTCTGTATATAAGTCTAGACAAAGATTCCTTACGAATATGAGCATGTGAAAAAAACAATGCATGACAAGGGAATTACATTATGACTGAACATCTGCTTCACATAACCATATTGTGAAAATGCCCCATTTAGATTCAGTGGAATGCCAATAACTTAAAATCAGTATATTTCAGAGCAAAAGCACATCCTCTTCACTGGTACTACTCTTCCTTCCTTGGTTTCATATACCAAAGATGTTCTGGATGCATTCAAATTATTGCAAACAGACCGAAGTATTCTAGACACCAGAGACTCCAGTTGTCAGGTTTTTCTTAATAATTTGCAAGGGACTTTATGGAACCTATCATTTTCTATGCTATAAACTGAATCTTCCCAGTGACCCTCTTCCTTTGGCAAATCACTTGATCTGAAGAGTAAATAGAGCTTCAGAAGTAGGCTTTCTAGTTTTTAAGCCATCATGCCTGGCATTTATGTCATTACTTCATTGTTTGGATAGCTGGAATTCTAATTTAAGTCTGTTTTTTATTACTCATGCACTTCAGGTGTCTGGATTGGAACTTAGTATGAAAGTGAAGAGCCACACTTGTTGCTGAAGAATAAAAATAGGCTGGTATTGTATTATCCACATTTTCTTTATTATGTTCAGGTGATTCAACAAAGAAATGAAGAGTGTGACCATATTCAATTTTTAATTGAAGAAAAAGAATCTAAAGAAGAAGATTTTTATGAAGACCTTGACAGATTTGAAGAGAATGGTACTCAAGAGTCTCGCATCAGTCCATACACATTTTGCAAGGCTTTTCCTTTCCACATTATATTTGATAGAGACCTCGTTGTCACTCAGTGTGGAAATGCAATATATAGAGTCCTTCCCCAGGTAAGGATTCTTGTTTCTCCTGCAAAGCCTTTCCACCATCCTACTCAAGTGCTACTATTCACTTGTTTATACACGTTCTATTATTCGATAATTTGTATGCACTACTTGGACTATGAAATATATTTCACATTTCTCCCTTTTTATCATTATATCTGACTCTGCATACATAAAGTAATCTCCCTTTTAAACACTTCTTTTTTTAAAAAATGTTAATGCTGAAAAACAAGCATAAGCCTTGTTTGGTGTAAGGCAGCACTCACATGGTTTAAACAGTTTTCATTGCATGGTTAGCTATACCTATGTTACCTTGTGGAAAAGTTTTTTTTTTCTTTTTTAATAACAAATATTCAGTAAACCAGCATTTCAAAAGGTTCTTATTATTTCCTGCCTCTTCCTTTTTTCTCCCCCTCCCTTTTCAGGTTGCTTTTCATAAAATAGGACAGTGCAACTTGCTCATTTCCCTTGATGAAAAACAGATTTTTTTAATCATTAAACTCTTCATCATAAAAAGTACATTTGAATGTATTATAATCTGTGCATCCTGAATCAGTGTAAATATGAACTTTGGGAATAGGGCCACTGTCAGACTAGAAGTGGCCATCACTTTCTAGAAGTGAAGAAGCTTGAATTATTGCTGTAGATTATAGGACATTGTGTTAGATATAGGGATGCTTTAGAACAGTGTTTCTCAACCTCAGCAACTTTAAGATGCATGGACTTCAACTCCCCAGAATTCCCCAGCTAGCATGCAAGGTTGAGAAACACTGCTTTAGAATAGTTCCTTGCTCAATATCATTGAAGATAGCATTCATTCCAGAACTTTGGACAGTGTGAACAACTCTTATCCAATTTAAAGGAAATATTCTTATGCAAAAATGTCCATATGTAATTGCATATTTGAGTTATATTAATTGTTAATTGTTAAAAATTCAATGCAATGTGAGTACTAATTCACTACCTATTATTGTAGTAAGTACAGATAGAACATAGGGAAACAGATTGCAATCACTAACCAGAATTCCTTCAAAGTTTTAAAATAAAATTTCTCTTTACTTGTATTTCAGCTCCAGCCAGGGTATTGTAATCTATTATCTGTATTTTCATTGGTTCGGCCTCATATTGATATTAGTTTCCATGGAATCCTTTCTCATATCAACACAGTCTTTGTGTTAAGGAGTAAGGTAATCTAAAACCCATTTATTTGCAATTTTTCAATAGGTATCTGTTGAACTTGGAAGAAGAAAAGACTCTTAAAAAGTCCTATTATTTTGAAAGGGTAAAAACTCTTTCAGTTCTACAAAGACTGAATGGCTAGGGATGTTTGGACTGCCCAGATCTGAGGATATTCGATCTTGGATAGGGCTGCATTTCCCTCTTCAAGAGGGGTATGCAATCTGGGAGTCTTCGTGGACTCAAAGTTACTGCCTAAAGAGCAACTGGCAACTGTGGCCAAGAAGGCCTTTGCATGACTTGTTGTGCCCTTTCAGGGGGCCCTTCAGATAGTCACTGGTGCCCTGGTCACCTTGCAGCTTGATTACTAGTATGCACTCTATATGGGGCTGCTCTTGAAGACCAACTGGAAGCTCCAACTGGTCCACAACACAGCAGTACAAGCAGTGATGGGAATGCCTTGGTATGCACATGTAACACCTCTGCTTCGCAAGCTGCACTCATTGCCAGTTTGCTTCTGAATGCAATTCAAAGTGTTGGTCATTGCTTGTAAAGCCCTACGTGGCATGGGGCCTGGTTATGCCTGTCACTCATAGTATCTTACCAGATGATTCTATCATGCAGGTTTGGCACATTCTGGGTCCCTTTGTTTAAACTATGTCATCTATTGGGACCTTGGAAGTGTGCCTTCTCTGCAGCAGCACTTGCCCTGTGGAATGAGGTTCCCCCTGAGATCCAGATGGCCCTACTGTGCTGATTTTCAGAAGACAGTGACCCTTGCTTTGTTTCCATCCAATTTGTTATTCCTGCCATCTTTTTTTAAAATTGTTTTTTCTTCCTTTTAATGTTTTATTGTAATTGATTTCTTTTGATTGTTGTCAGACACCCAGAGTTGTTGGAAGTCAGACTGAACAACAACAATAACCCCTTTATCATATTTGTTTAGGTAAAGGTAGGAAAAACAGAAATGAAAGCGTTAAAGTACTCTTCATGTGGGTACACATGAAGTCACAGGCTCATAACAATGGCACTTTTCACAGAAGTTTCTTTTTGTTCTTTAAAAGGAAGGACTCTTGGATGTGGAAAAATTGGAATGTGAAGATGAATTAACTGGTACAGAAATTAGTTGTTTACGCCTGAAAGGTCAAATGATCTACTTACCTGAAGCGGATAGTATTCTCTTTCTTTGTTCTCCAAGGTAAGCAGATAAGATTGTGTGTATAGTGCACTTGTATTGTTACAACTAGAATTACAGCCTTTGAGACCAAACAGCTGTGATACAAAAGGTTCTGTGTTTGCTTTATTTTAAATTGCCACATTAGAAGCTTCCTTTTCGAATGGAGGATATTTGGTGAGGAGGTGATTAACCATTTCCTGCTTGCCCTGCAACCCTGTTTAAGGTCCACTCCCCAAGCTGCTGATAGTATCACTGCTAGGGAAAGGATCAAAGGTATAATAACATTGAGGGGGAAAAAAATAGGCAATAGAAGTATGGGAGGTAATTATTGAAGGTCCACAACTGTTCTAATTGCTCTTGCTTTGACTTTGATTTTAAACAATGTTGTCAAAGGATCACTTATTGCAGCAGAATAGGCTAATGATGTGAGTTGATGTTTTTAAATACCCTGAACTGCCTTTTCTCTGTTTATAGAAATGTACCAGTCGTATTGTCTTAGAAGGATAGAAAAGTACAATATTAATAGAGTTTGAAATGATGAAATAGAGATGTACTGTTACTTTTTGGCAATTTAAATATGCTTGCAAAACAGATAAATCCGTATTTTTTACATTAAGTGCCGGAGGAATCTTGTCCCATCATTTTCTCATCTCATTTTTAATTGCGTTAGTGTGATGAATTTGGATGACTTAACTAGAAGAGGGCTGTACCTAAGTGACATTCCGTTGCATGATGCTACCCGTGATTTGGTTCTTTTGGGAGAGCAATTCCGAGAGGAATACAAACTGACCCAAGAACTGGAAATATTAACGGATAGGCTCCAACACACTTTAAGAGCTTTGGAAGATGAAAAGAAAAAGACAGATACGTAAGATTTAATCTACTACTTTAAATATGAAATGGTATAAATGGTTGATTTTTATCACTCTGCTGTCCTCTGTTTGAAGGTTCATAAACAGCTCTGATTCCTAATTATCTAGCTAAAGTCAATGAAAGTACTCTAGATAAAAAATATGTTTTGCTGAAGCCTGAGAATAGTTAGTCATTTACAGTTCTTGCACACATGTGACCTATATATTTAGGTCACCATTAATCCAATTAGTCTGAGTGGGTAAGATTCAGGAAGATATAAATGCTTGAATACACTAAAGGTAGTTTAATGTTGTGCCACTGATCTATGCAATCAGCAACATTTGAACTTTCTGCATGGAATCATAACAATTACTAAATATTTTTGATGTGCATTAATTTTTTTTTAAAAAGATGTGGTTCTGAAGCTCTGTAATAAATACATACATCAGCCTTCACAAACTAAATGCTCTCCAAATGAGTTGAAATTCAGTCCCCATAATTTGCAGTCAGCATTGCCAGACTGATTTCTAATTATGGGAGTTTAAGTCTAATGTATCTCAAGGATATCTGTTTTTGAAAGCCTAGGGTGCATCATGGCTAATACTGACTTTGTCATGCAATTTTTGCCTTTAAAGTATTTTCTGTAGCAAAAATCATTATGCATTAAATTCAAATAAAGAAAAATCAGCAACATGTAACAACAAATCCAAGTGAAGTTCTGCAAAAAATTGTTAGCTGTTGGTAATACAAGCATAATAGCAATTTAACCATATATTTATTCAGCAGAATATAATATAATTTGCCTACATTGTGTTTAAATAGTGTGTGTGTGTGTATCTATATATCTCTATATATCTAAAATAAATTTATGTATTTATTGTGTCACTTGTGTCAGAAGGAATGTTTCTGATGCAAATTAATGTCTGCTGCAGAACATACTAAATTTTTAAATCGGTGAATATTTGAGAATTTTAATATGAGAAATTTAATGGAATAAAAATGTATTTCTCCTCTTCAATTTTTCCCCTTGTTCCTGCTACACAATCTTATGTAGGTTATTGTATTCTGTGCTTCCTCCATCTGTGGCCAATGAGCTGAGACACAAGCGTCCCGTGCCAGCAAAACGTTATGATAACGTGACCATATTGTTTAGCGGCATTGTGGGTTTCAACGCCTTCTGCAGTAAACATGCCTCTGGGGAAGGAGCCATGAAAATTGTCAATCTTTTAAATGATCTTTACACAAGATTTGATATTTTGACGGATTCACGAAGAAACCCATTTGTTTATAAGGTAAGTATCATATCTCATTTCTGTTCTGTGGGGAGGGTAACGCTGTGTAACGGCTAGCTTATGACAAGTAGTGTAAGATATACAGGGCTGAGCACGTATCTTTACGTATTACAAACAGCAGACGCTAGAGAAGTAGATGACAGCTTCCAAAACATTTTACTGAAGTCTCAAACCCTCTCTGGCAACTTTCCTAGTATGGGCTTTTACAGTCTGGTGCTATGCACAGTGTTTACAGTCTGAATTTGAATTCCAAGTTGGTTTATCATGAAACAGAATGGAAGATCAGCTTTGGTCAACAGATTGCTAGAGCTTTGTATACAGATACATACAGGTACACGGAATACGTTTTGTTTTCTTCTATTTTTAATCATTAGAGGAGTGATAATTTTGAATATTATTGTATGCAATCGTGGGTTGAATATCATTCAGGAAGTGTTTCAGTACTACTGTCAAAATAGAATAGATGACAGCTTTATTCCCCCAGAAGAAGGTTGTTGTGGTCTGTGGTCTTGCATTCTTTTTCTTTTTGTGGCTTATTGGTAGTGGTACTTTTTGATGTGCTTTCTAATCCCAAGCTTATTTTTAAATAACATTTCTTGTATTGATCATATTGGGAGGAATTCTGGCAACTGAAAGCCAACAGATCTGAAACCAACACTAAGGTGGAAGGGAAATTACTTTGAGGGAAAAAAGTGCTAGGTTGGGATGGGGATTTAATACAGTCTTCGAAAACCTGATCACCTTCATATGTGTTGAGAATACATCTCCCATAATTAGTGCTATAAGTGTATGTTCTGAGGATTTTAGCATCTCAGGATTTGTCGACAATGGGGAAGGTTGAGTAAACATGTTCCATATTTGATAACTGTAATAATAATCTTTCTAATGAAATGATACTGCTTTAATGCCAGATTTTTTTCTGATCAAAGGATACTATTTTACTGAGACAAGCAAAAAAAGGAAATATATCGTAACTGCCAGATTTACATTTTGCTAGGTTGAGACAGTTGGAGACAAATATATGACAGTAAGTGGCTTGCCAGAGCCATGCATTCATCACGCACGTTCTATCTGTCACTTAGCATTGGATATGATGGAAATAGCTGGACAAGTTCAAGTTGATGGAGAATCTGTTCAGGTCAGTGATTGGCAACATATTATTGGATCATAGTTTTTTTTAATTATTATTATTGTGGTGCAAATTCAGCTCTGACTTAATATAGGATCAACGTTCAGGTTTGTAAACTCAAAAAAAAAAAAAAGCATGAGTCTATCTGGTTATTTATTTACTTACTGATTTCTTGTGACTATATGGATAAAACAGTTCCTAAAATTGAGGGTTCATAAGTATAAAATTATGGAGAGGGAGAAGAAATCTTATGCATGTTTACATGCCTCTATAATATAGTATTTTAATTTATCTGGAAATAGATGCACCAATAGACTAATGTTTCTTTGCAGTGCTTTACCAGGAAATTGTCTACATTTTAAATACATAACTTTTTTGCCATCTTTAGAGAAAGTGTAAATGTTTTAGGAATTACAGTAGGAATGATTTTCTAGTTCAGTCATATAACTGAAAACTTTAAATAGCAAACCTAGGTATGCTACAGTTGTTCTAGATTTGTAGTGTTGTGTTACATGCTTTGAAATATAAATTCAGTTAAAATTAAACATAAGGTTAATATTGAATTTTATATTTATAGTGTTTTTCCACTGTTGACTAATGATACTATTAATCTATAGTAGTCTAATATGTAATCTGCAGTGCTGTATACACTGTAGTTAAACCAACTTGATATCATTTTCTTTTCTATTATTAATTTTTTATAAAAGATAACAATAGGCATTCACACTGGAGAAGTAGTCACAGGTGTCATTGGCCAAAGGATGCCCCGTTATTGTCTTTTTGGGAATACTGTGAATCTCACAAGCAGAACAGAAACAACAGGGGAAAAAGGAAAGATCAATGTCTCTGAATATACTTATAGGTGAGAAATTAAGTTTACTAATGCCATCGTATCCAAACCACAAATTTTAAGTAATTGTTCTTAGGGTGCTTTTATGCAATTTACTCTTCGGATGTTTTCTTTCAATTTACACTAAGTAAAGTTTATTTTTAAGTTGACCTAAATTCCTGGTGAAATATGGATTCACCCGTGTTTTCTTCATAGCAGTATGGAAGTGGTTACAACCCTGGAATTTCCTTTGCTTTAACTTATACACAATTTCTTATGTAAAAGATTTAGATTAAAAACTTAGTGTTGCACAGAGGAACAATAAAATCATTTTCAAATAGTCTGGTTGGTCTATTCAATATAATTTTTGACAAATAAATTTAATATTTAAATGAAAGCCAGGATACTAAATTGTCAGTAGCTTAACTAGGGATGTGCAAAATGTTCTGTGCATGGACCAGCTATCACATATACTATTATGCAGATGATGGCTTTAGATGACCAGGCATTCAGCATAGTGGAGGATGCTGGATTCTAGAGTCTCTTCCATCTGTTTCCCTGTCACTACTCTCAGACACCACCATAGGAAAGTGAGTGGTGATCTCCCTGTTTTGTTTTTACTTTAATATTGTCATTAATTCATTTTTGACATTGTATTTTCTTGGACCTTTCTGTTTAAGGACCCTTCAAGGTATGATGAGTGTGTACTCTGTGTATGCTCTTGGTTTCTGGTGATGTTGAGATTCAGAATGCCTATTGCAATATGTGTGTTATCTTTGAAGGGCCTTTGAATGCTCCACAATCAACAGAAGAAAGAGCAAAGTACACTTGCACATTTAAACTCGCAAGCCATCATCAACCTTATTGGTGGTTATCATTTTCCTCAAAATCTCTTTGCTGATAGCTTGCTTTGAGTTTATTGGCTTTTTGGAAACTTTTGACTTGGATGTCATTCATTCATCGCTGCACTCTAGGCATTCTGTTTTGCCTTTTTGCTTTTAGAAAATGTGTTTAAAAATGCAAAAAGACACTGTGTTAGTTGGCCTGCTCTCTTTAGGTGTATGTGTACACTCTGATCATGCTCTTACGCACCTATGATTCAGTCCATAGTATATCTTGCTGCAAAATGATTTGAACTTGTCGATTTACCCTGTTTGATACAGTTATTGTAAAAGCAACTGTACTGCCAAGCAAGGTTGTGTGTATAATAACGCTTTTGTTGTTTGTGCTTCCGAGGATGTAAATGTAATTTAATATTTTCTGACAGGAGTCCTCATGACCTGGAGGAGATAATTGATTGAAAACGTTGTGTCTTGGGAGATCAGAAACAGAGCCAACCCTATCTGCCCTCCTATTCTTTTCAATCAGAAGTCCTATAGGCCCTGGACAAATAGTTGCTCTAAGGAAGGCTATGGCTGAAGCTACCAGATCCAGGCTGTAAAAATCCAGATGACAACCAATAGTAAAAGTTTTCTGCATCTTTCTGCTGCCTTCTGGTGGTCATCCAGATTTTTGCAGCCCAAGAGACCAATTCACTGTTTCACATGGATGAAACATCCAACACTGTTCCAGGTTTGTTTCTGTTGAATCACGGCCAGCCTGAACTGTGTCAACAGATCTTCTGGAATTCAATGTTTTACATTTTATATTTCATGCATGCTCCTACTTAATTATATATGTATAATTTCAGATGCCTAATGACTCCAGAGAATTCAGATCCACAGTTCCATCTAGAACACAGAGGTCCAGTTTCCATGAAGGGTAAAAAGGAGCCAATGCAAGTTTGGTTTTTGTCAAGAAAGGGCACAGAGACAGAGGTATGACTAATCAAACCACGTTTAACAAAACAAAGACAAAACAAAGCAAAACAAAAAGTAATGCAAGGACTATATACAATGTCTAAATCAGGACTTCTTGTTGCGAAACTGAATGTCCTCTTGAAGAAATGAACCATTTAAAAAATATTGTTGCCTTAATATATTTGCTGTCTTGACAGCCAATTACTGTCTATTATAGGTCACCAGACTTTATGCATTTGTATTTCAGAAAATCTTTGAGAGAATGCCAACTGATTAAACATTAATTTTAATCTTTTCCCTTCCCTCCTGTACTAGAATTGATATTTATATAATGGCTGTTCCTAACAATATCAGACAACTTACAGTTTTGCACTTTACAGTCAAAAGCTCTTTATATACTGCTTTCACTTAGGAAGATTTTACCAAGATACATTTACACATAGACTGAGGCCCAATATTTGGCACAGCCACAATGCAGAAAACATTTAAATTATTTTTCAGAGTAAAGTATGTATGAAATAAGGTTCTTACAGAATTTATATATAGTCTAAAATTTTTGCTTGTCTGGATTTTTCTATTACGAGCATTTAATGTTATGCCAATAGAAACAGTAGTTATCTTAATATGCGTTTAGCTAATTATATTAAGGATATAGCAAATTCACTTAAATGCACAGCTCATATAAAACAACTACTGCTGGATTTTTTGGTTGGAAAATTTGAAGAGTTCTATGTTCTGATGGATCAAAATCTGAAACTGTAGAATGCTCTACTGTAGAAAACAATATGAACTCAAAAGAAGCCTCTTCCTCACTAATTTTTCACATAGGACATCAAAACAACCAAACTGAACAAAAATGGCTTAAACTCTTAGCTAAGAGTAGATGCAACTGTTAAGCATGTGTTTTGCTCCTTGCCCTGCAAAATCAGCCAAAGTATTGAGCCTAGCATTTCAACAAAACAATATTTCACTGACTGTTGCTTTAAGGCTTCTTTTTAATGCATACTCAGTGCACATTTTTTTGCATTTGTTAACATCCTTCAGAGCATGCAGCTCTGAACAAATAATCTAGGTTTGCTTTTTGCATTTTGTAAGCTACCCACAAACAAAAGTTTATACAGATCGTTCTTATGCACCCTTTTTGCATTTATCAACTAGAAAGCAGTTGTCATCAAACAGCCTAAATGTATTTTTGCAGGTAACTTATGTGAAACAGTACACATAAGACAGTACTCAAAAGTGTCCATACATTGACCCCCAGGAGGCACTACATGACCACTTTCATCCTTATTAGGAATCATCTGATGTACATAGCCTGATATTATGCTGTGGGGTTCAAACCCTCAAGCAGGAAGTAAACTCACAGAGCCTTGCACAGTGGATGACAATATACAGTGCATTAGCTTTAGATTCAGTGGTGTTTCAGGAAGGGATATGTAGAACCTATAAGAATGGCATATACCGTAGATTCTATGTTGGATTCTCTCTAATACAATATGTAGAATATATTTTCTATACACTCTTCTCTTGTAGCGTGGATGGAAATCATAAAACCTCATACATGGTGTTATGATATAAACTTCTTGTGTGCCTGTCTGAGAGCTTAAGGATAGGTGGACTGTGTGTCCCATTCTGATAGCTAAAAAGTATGCATAGGCAGCATTAGATCTTTACTACCAAGCGGACAACTGTTAATTTGTTTCTTTCACATGAAACAATAATCCAAACAGGGCCTCAGACTCTGAACTATTTTTTACCTCACTCTTTCTACTGCTTCTGCAACCAATGGCAGAAGGGATGGATTCTGTGCCTATTTTAATTGCTTTAAATTAAAATTATTCAATTTTAATTGCTGATGTACTTCAAGTTTCCATGGCTAGGGGGATTTCTTTTTCTTAAAGACAGTCATGATGTATCAGACAGTCCAAACATTTAGACTAATTGAAATGGCAATTTTGAAGTGGGATTTTTTTTTTT